CTTTTTAAACCATATCAGACTGACTAAAAAAAAAGTTGTTCAATATTGCATTAAAATAAGCACAGATATAAATATAGATTTTATAAATGACTTGAGAGTGAAACTGGCAAATGCCAACATTCAAAATCCAATTAAAGAATCTTTTCATTTTCTTACTATATTAAATGAATATATTATCTTCATCAAGCACACTGCTGAAAATTGTAAACTGAGTGCCTCCCATCGGACAATGGTATTAGTTATCAAATGTGCAGAAACAATTACGTTATGCAGTATAACTGGGATTTGATGTCTGTGGGATGCATTTAATTTGATTATCTGAAATCATTTATATCAGGTTTTTCTGTTTGTATTGTTGGAAAATATTTTAAATTGACAATAACAAATTACTATGTAAGGAAAGATGGTCATCTTTCATTTTTTACTTCAACCCGTTAGTCCTCGTTCCTTTCTTCATGAAAGAAAACAAAACCAAATATGAACTTATTAACAAATGAGCAATGTACTTGGGTGAAGGCTGATCTGATGTCTTAGAATTTGTATCAATGTGCCATTTCCACAGTGTTGCAGGTTGTTGTCCACAAAAAGCTAGTGGCCACCTGTGTACATCTTCTCCCTGCTCTTCTCATGGGATTCATGTGGAGGTGCTTTCATCCAGAAGAGATACATTTTCCTAATTTATACAAGTATTAGGTAGGTTGGAATTAACCCTGAGATCCTGAAGACACAGGAAATTTGTTTTCAAGGGAAAACTCAATTATTTAATGAGTGGATGTCTGCTTCTACTTTATTCTCCTCTTCTTTGTAAATACATTTTTTCCCAAAGAAAGTTTTTAATCCCTGTTTTCATTCAAATAATCTGAAATTATCATTCTTCCCACTTCAGATCCTCACAAGGGGGGAAAAATCATTATGTTGTGTATCCCAGGGTTTTATGGAGCATTTGTTTTCAGAACAATAGGACAAATAAACAAAAAATAATGGCATATTTGCTTAGTTTCAAATTTGTGACTCCTGAATTTCTGAGTTTACCACAACATAATAATGACAGGATATATCAGAAGATGAACAAGGCTCACTCTTCAATATTCTCTGTAAGACTGTTAATAACAAAATTAACTCTTTTTTTCTCTTTCCTTCTGACATTAAAGTTCTTAAGAGAAAAACCCCTCCAGGTATTTAAAGTTTCTATTAATTTTTTATCTTCTCCAATTCCCTCTCAATCTCAACCACCTTTTCCATAGACAAAATGCCCAGAATGAGACTTGGACTTCTCAATGCAGATGAAAATAAATCAGTAACGACCTTGATATTTGGTTCATTTTCTTCTCTCATTTCACATTTTATAGAGGATCAGTTTCCTGATCATGGTTTCTCATCATTTTTACATAAAAAAATAAAAACACAATTATACTGTATCTCCTTTCATCAACCTATTTATGGCAAATAAAAAAGGCTCCCCTTTAAATAACCTCTGCTGACAAAGAAGATGCACAGCGAGATGTATAAGCTCTTCGACAGAGGCAACCAAATGCCATGAATAATACATTATTCTGAATAATGATTTAGCATGATATATCCAGTTATAATGGCAAGGAAATGTGGGCATTTTTTTGTAGAATAAGTTTATGAAAATTTTCAGTAAAGTAGCTAAGAAGACAGTAAAATCATTGCTTAATATACAATGCAGCATATATGACTAAAGTGGCAGAAATTGCTTCAGACTCCACATGAATATCTTCATTCCCACATTTTTAAAGTGGTTATTTTGTGATTCACATGCTAAAAATATGACAGCAATAGTTGTACACAAGTCATCTGTATGGTGTTTGTATAGGCATGGTAATTCAATATCATCTCTTTAAACTAAATGTACTTTTTTTCTTTGAATAGCAATATGTTTTTTTTTTCTCTTGAGGCTTACACATCTGACACAATTGGTTTTACATAAAAATGTGCTTACAAATAGCACATGATTTAAAATATTAAGAATCAAATTCATTCTAGGTAATGTGGTCAGATACAAACCAGATGCTGAAACACTATCTGGTTTAAAGGTTAAAAGGAATCTGGGATCAAAGTTTTGTGCTCTCCTTCCAAATGCTGAAGTGGATTCAAGAATTGGTTTTGAACATTATGTAAATGAAGTAGTAGTAAGATACAGAGAGATCACATTCTGAGTCAGGGAAAATTGCCATGAAAGTCATCTTTTGTATCTGATCAGCTCTGTCCTTCAGAATAAATAAACTTTGGTCAGCCTTAGTTTCTACAGATGAATACTGTAAGCATAAAACATGATGACTCAGAAACTTCCTGTTGAGATTTCATGAGAGTCTATCTGAAGTTTTCTCATGCTAAAATATCTCATTTCTTATATTTTGAATAATCACCAGTACTCACAATATTACATATGCAGAGTTTACCTGACATTTCATAAGAACTGATGATTCAAAGGAACAACACATTTCAGGATATTTTGCTAAAAGCACTCAAGTAATAAAGTTGGGGGCTTGATATAATAGTGAAACTCATAAAATTATTCTGCTCTTTCTCTCAGAAAAAGAAAATTGACTTACAAGTTTACCAACTTTTATGTTTTAAACTAATACCATGTTAACTGTCTGAATTCCTAATTATCTTTCTTATTTCATTCTTGTTTTACAATTAAACCACATCATCCTTTTCCACTAGCCCAATTGACCCTTCTATAGGCTAAAATGTTCTTTCCTATGAGGCAACAGACTCCATTTCCATTGACTATCTGTAGAGCTATTTGAAGGTAGTACTGTGAATTTGCTATGAACAGGATTCTGGTTTCAGACCAGCTGGATTATACTCTTTATCTACTTCTAAATCAGCTGGACAAATTTGGGAAAGTTACTTCATTTTCTGTGCCTCAGTTTCACAGTTTAATTAGCCAGAAAGAAAAACAGGAATGGGATAGGACTCACTCTTTCTTTCTCATGGCATTAATCCTTGCAGTTCCCATGCCACTCTACAGGAAAGATATCACAGAGTTCGTCAAAAAAATCAATTGCCTGAAACTTCCTTAGTCAACACATTTCTTAATGCCTTGGAAAAGGGAATGAGTATACATGAGTACCTCTTGAGGTTTTTGGTTAGCAGGTGGCTCATTGGGTTACTTAAAACAGAGGAATGCCCACATTGTCATTCCATAAATCTTGAAATTCCTTTCTATAGTATGCAATAGAAATTCCAAATGTTTTACTTTATTCTTTATAGGCCACCACTTTAGTGATTATTGGTAACCACTGACTTCCATAGTTAGCCTAATAGACTATTAATGACTCTTGATAGACCTAACCAATAAATGAAATCTCAAAACATATACAAGTATACCTATGACAGCTGATTTTTCCCGGTTTAACTCTTTATTTTAATTTTTTCAAACTTCTGTCAGTGCAGGATCTGAATAGTGATAGGGATATTCTTAACTTTTTTTTCTTAGTACTTAAATTATTGTGTCCTTGTGCTATTCCTTCACAGTTATGTAACTCCTGTTACATGGCAGATAACAGAAGTTCTTAATAAGGCAACTGCTTTCCTATCCCAAGCTTCTTATATAGAAACGGGATGGTTTTCTAAAAAGCCCATGTGTTGTTGCCTTCAAAGACAATGATAGTTCATGAAGTTAGCTTTACTCAAATTTACATTTACTGAAATTTATATTTATATTTACATCCTCTCTCTCAGGATTACATTTTTTTTCTATTCAAATGTCCTTTCCATTGCACAAGAGTAACATACATTTTCTTTAAAGGCAAGATAGTAAAATACTTTTGGCATTGTGAGTAGTATGGACTGCTGCAGTCTGGCTGGACACAATTCAGGAGCCACTTGTCAAAAGAAACGAACTTTATTTTTAGAACCACACAGGCCAAACAAAACAGCTCCTCAGGAAAAACCCTCAGAGCCCAACTGCCACACCGGCTTCCCGCAAGCCTCTCACAAAAACACAAGCCTCTCACACAAACACAAGAATCTCACAAAAACACAAGCCTCACCACTTCCCACAATCCTCCTGCTCTTGAGGCCAATTGGCTGGGTCACGTGGGCGGAGCCAAAGAAGTCCCTCAATGAGCATCACCGCAGAGGAGCCAATCAGCTAGATGTTGCTGGGGCCGCTGTGAGCCAATCATCAGCTGGCAGTCTGAAAGTTTGCTGGCAGCTGGAAGTTTGCTGGGGCCCCTTCGGGCTCTGGCTCTCAACAATGGACCCTGTTACAACTCAACTCTGTCAACACTGCCATGGTAGTGCAGGAGGCACAAATATGTAAGCTAATCTTGCCTATGTTTCAACATACCTGTAAACTAATCTTGCCTATGTTCCAGTAACACGTTTTTGTTTTTTTTTTTTTTTGTACCAGGGATTGAACCCAGGGGCACTCAACCACTGAACCACATTCCCAGACCTTTTTATATTTTATTTAGAGACTCTGTCTCACTGAGTTGCTTAGGACCTCACTAAATTCCCAAGGCTGGCTTTGAACTGTGATCCTCCTGCCCCAGGCTACCTAGCCACTGGGATTACAAGCATATGCCAGGGAGCCTGGCCCAATAACATTTTATTTATAAGAATAAGTTGGTAGCCTAAGAGCCATAATTTGCCCACCCCTGCTTTAGCATTTGAGATTTAGCAGGATTTATCCTTTAACTGAAATGGTAATAAATTTGCCTGTCTTCAGCTACTCTGCTGGTAGTTGTAGGTGAGTAGAAACCCCTTCAAAGCTGCCTTCGGGTCTTTTGATTCCCACACATGTTGTAACTTGCATCTTAATGACTTCTATGTTTTCTTTTTTTTCCTATGTATGCACTCTGGGAATGTCAGAAGATGCTGCCTTTGTATTTATCCTTGTTACCATGGCACCTAATTGTCACAGCAATTTAAATTTTTATGACCTTGCCCTCCTTCTGCAATCCATTCTATATTATGCCAGCATTGATTAGAATAATCATGATGCAACTGTATGCCAGGAATTACATGTGTCACATTTCCCCCAGCAATGAGATTATCCCTGTGCTGCTTGAATATATGAGAAGACCAAACTAGACTCACTTTTTCAGAAAAAAAGAGCAGCATGGAACCTCTCCAGGTAGCAATTTCTTTATCAATCAGAGTTGTAGCAGATAATAAACAATACAACCAAGTTAATATGAGGATAATTTGATAAAGGAAATATTCCCAAACTGTGGACAGTATAGAAAAAGCATAATATGCTGTTTGACAAATGCTATATCTCATTGAATGCAAATTCCTTTGAATTTCAGAGGCCAACTTGTTTTGTCCTGGTTAAAAACTTGGAGTTATTGTATGATATTTTTCTACACAGTAATTGTATTCTGTATAATAGCTAGTAGAAACAGATGTCCAATTAGAAATATTTGTGTCAAATTTTCATGAAAATTATTCCTAGCATCATTATATAAATTTGGAGTAAATTTTGATGAAAATTTTGCACATAGTGGATTTGCTCAAAATTCTATGACAATGAATGATTATTTGGGGTTAGGGGTAGTACAGGAGAAAGAGGAATATATAGCATAGACAACTATTTTTATAAAGGATATCTAAATGGCAAAAAATCTTGGAAGTATACATATATATATATACTTATATATGTATATACATATATATACATATACATAGTAATATAATAACTGGTATAATAACTATATAATAACTTATATAATAACTATAATAACTAGAAAAACTAGTTAGAGTCATTCTGGTTAACATACTGAGAACTGAAAAACATGCTTCGAATCGTACACTTATAAAGTGGTAGATACTATATAATCAACAGAGACAGTGTAAACCACCATCCACACCTCACCCGGCATGTTTAAAGGGCTTGCAATTAATCAGAATGACAATTATTTGCATGTCCTTCTGGTCTAGAATATATAAAGAGAAAACTTACAATGTTTTATAAATATGCCTTGGTCTCCAAAGTCATGGAACCATCTCATGACAATATTTTAGTCATTGATTATACCACTTTATCCCATTAAAAATCAGTTGTAAATTAACTTTCAAGGTGGCCTATTACCATTTACTTTTTACTAAATCACAGTTATTGAAATTATTATTATACTAAATGTATATTAATTATTTCACATATTTAGAGTTACTTTTCTTATGTTAAATAAGGCATTTTTCATGTTATTTCTTTTGACTTGTCCAACAATCAAATTGTCTTTTGGATTCTATATTACATCTTTTCACACTCGTAATTTATAACTCTAGTTATTTTTGTAAAAATAAAAAAAAACTTAAAATGCCTACAGAAGAAGATATTGCAAATCAGGAATACCAAGTACTAATAAGGTCAGTCAGTATAAATGGGAAAGAAAGAAAGAAAGAAAATATCCTGTCATGAGATCATTCTTAAGCTCTTTATAAACGTCAGAGGCTGTGTGTGGAAAGAGTCTGAAAAGAATATTAAATATGTAAAGACTCCTGTGATAGCACAGATTAATGTAATAATAAACTTTTAAGCTAATGACACTTGGAGTACAATTTAATAATTTAATAAATGACTTGATTTTTATTCCTATAGCCCTTCTGAGATATAAATTTTGATTCAGTATTTCTTCCACACACTAAAAGTAAAATGTGAATGCAGTTCAATGTTAATTTCTTGTTTTAAAAGACTGCAACAGACCAACTCACTTAGCTTTCTCTTCTGTGCTCTTTATTTCAATTGAATAAATACAGTACATTTCTTTTGTGTTTTGACTGAATAAATGAGAAAGAATATGCCTTTATAATTCCTGAACTCATCAATGCAGTGAGTGTTCTTAGAATAGACAAAAGAGAATGAACACATTTATTTTTAAATTAACAGGTATATATTCTGTTTTTTTTTAAGGAAAAGAGAAGGCTTATTAGTCATAAAATAATTACTCCTGAAGTATAATATTCCAGCTAATTATTTAATTTTGTATTTAAAATTCTTTTTTTTGGGGGGGGGACCAGGGATTGAACTCAAAGAGTACTTCATCACTGAGCCATAGCCCCAGCCCTTTCTGTTCTGTAATTCATCTAGAGACAGGTACTCACTGAGTTGCTTAGTGCCTTGCCATTATTGAGGTTGGCTTTGAACCACTCAGAATTCTCCTGTCTCAGCCTTCCAAGCCACTGGGATTACATACAGGCACATGCCACCACACCCAGCTTGAAACTCTTTTGAAATGCAAATTTTGATCACTTCTAACCTATTTCATTATAGTGAAATTATCCTGTTGGAACTCTGATATATATTTTCCTATGTTCATAAAATGAAATATTGGGCAGTCACTAAAATTATGATATGACAGCATAGTTAATGTAGAGAAAACTTCATGGTTTTTAATATATATAAAAAGTTCCTTTGCATCAAAATCAGAAATGCAGAATCAAAATTTGTTCAAATAATGTATGATACCTACTGTATATGCCCTCAGAAATTAAATTTTTTATGCTAGAAAATCACATTCTAGAATTTTTGTTATCTAATATCAAGTATCTATACATTCTTCCATGAAGATATATCACATATGATGCTATGAATGAAAGCAACAAAGAAAATAAAATCCCAATACACTAGATTTTTAAAGACATACACCAAAAATAAAAAACAATAAAGAATAAAGAAAGATAGAAAAAGAAAAAGAAACAAAGAACTACTCAAAGCTTTGTGCCCATAATATTCCTGAAGGAAATTTACTCAGACATAGTTTATCCAACATCCAACAGCAAGATAAAAGAATGTTTGTTTTATTATTCTAGGAAAAACACTGGGAACTTATACTATAATAGAATACTAAAAATAGCTGTATGCAACTTCACCCTATTTCATTTGACTTCCAATCCATCCAGATGCTTTCTCACATAAGTCAAAAGAATTTGACTGAGTTCCAAAAAAATGACAACTTATATATGCATTAATGTAGTTTAATCCTGAAAGGTCTCATGCAAGTCCAAATGGATCTTTTGGTACTTTTGTTTTCTCTTGGAATGAGGTGTGGAATTGAATGTCAGAGAGAAACTGCAGTGTTCAAGGTGCATCTTCTGATTAAGAACTCTGTTTTGGTTATCATTGCATAAATGGGCATGTTTTATGTTTATGTTTTTTGCATAATCTGAATACTCAAAATTTGGCAGTTTACACCAGTAAACCATTATTACCTCTAGTGATTATGTGAATGAAATTTGCTTGGGGTCTCTCAAGCAGTTGATAACATTTAGATAGGATAGCTTTGTTGTGATGTCCTGGGCATGCTGCAAGCATAGAAGCTCACTCATGTGGCTGAAAGTTGATGCTGATTTTGAAAATGCTGCTCAGCTGGATTTGCCAATTAGAAAGTCTGCTCATGTCTCTATGTGGCCTGAGCTTCCCAGAACATGGTGGGTAGCTTCCAGCAGACTGTGCCTCAGGACTGAGATTCTAAGTAATCCAGGCAAAACCACAAGGGTTCCATGACACAATTTAAGAAGCACTGAATATCTATCTGCATGGCATTATGTTGTTTGCTGGATAGGACCAGCCCAAGCTGAGATGAAGGAAGCAACTGAAAACCTCAGGAAATAAATTAGAATCCATTGAGTGAACTTATATGTCTCTAACTCCCAACAGAAATCAAACAAACAAACAAACAAAGGAATGGGAAGAGGGAGACTGTGATTAAAACTTTCTCAGAAGGAAGATGTTTCCAAAAGGCAGAAGGCTGAGGTCTTCCCAATAGATTGATAATGTGCAGGATGTTTTGGCCTCTTCAATTTGGGAGAGTAGTTGAAAGTAGAATCTAAAAGCCTAGGGATAAGGCAAAGGATTTTATCAAAGATTTTGGCAGAAGTTCCCTTACTGAATATGGTCAGCCCAAACAAAGGGTTTGTGTCACTACCCAAGGGAAGTTAGTCTAAAGCAGCTGGATTCTTATGGATCACGTGATTATAGAAGAGACATCTTAAATAAATCACATTTAGTCAAGAAGGTAAAATCTCTTTTGATGAACATGCTAACACAGTACATATGCTGTACTATGATAGGAAGCCTTGAACAGATCCCAAGTATTGCATAGATATATCTTTTTTTCTGGCTATGAGAGTAAGAGTTATGCTCATATTTCAGCAACCTACTATGTTTACCCTCCTTTCCCTAATTTTTTTCTTCAGTAAGAAAATAAAAAATAAATTCTAAACAAATAACAATATTAAAAATCAAGAAAAGCATAAACATTCAAAAGTGGAAAATACTTCTGCAATCCCATGTTGAGGAACACTTTTCTTAAATCTGAGAATAAATATACTAATTTGCAACTTCAATAATTTAGTGCTTCATCAATAATTGGGCAATATGTCTACTCAAGCACATTTCTAAAGCTTTGTTTTAATTATTGCTTAATATACCTTTACAGACTATTTCAAATGCAGTGATCCATATTGCATGCCAAAATAAGGCTACAATGGTATCCTAACACATGCACATGTAATCCACACATTTTTTGTTGAATTGAAATGCCCAGTGCCTGCTGATTGCTTTAGTTGATTCAAGAACCAAGAACAATGCAATTTATACTTTGTGCTGATTTTTCCTGTAAGGTTTTTTTTTTTTTAAAAAAAAGTTAATAAATACAAAAGGCATAAAAGAAAGATGTCAGAACTCAAAGTAAGAACTTAATTGTAGCTGAGAGAATTGTAGTGTTAGTGGAACGTACTCAGAGCATGCAAATGCTGCCTCTTTAAATGATGCGTGAAAGAAACGGCACATAAGATTTTTAGAAATATCATTTTATTATTTTTTTGTTTGTTTTTGCAACCTTACCTCAGAGACTAGTAAGTTTATATTGTTTATACAATGATGCTGAATTTATAAAAACAGTTTTCTTATGATCTCAATAATAAATATATTTACTGACACTACTGGGGATACTGGGTTGTTCATGTTTAAACAATTGATTATTTTTTGACATACAGAAATGGATCATAGGCCCAGAGCAACTTAACTTTAATAATTCAAATAGCATAGTTTTTCTTGATCATAGAGATTTCTAGAAATAATATGAGTGTAAGGTGCATCAAAATTAAAGCTATATTTTAGTTGGATTATTTTTGTTAGATTTTTTTATTACACAGAATAACAACACATCAAAGAAAAATCTGTCTGTTTTTCTGATTTAATATAAAATGCTGTATGAATCAGAGATGGAGTACAATGACTACATTAACTTATAGCAAACATAACTTATTGTAATTTATTTAAGAACAAAACAAAATGATGCCCCATTTTTGTAAATAGAGTCTATCTTTCAGTATCATTATTCACCAAGATTTATTTAGCTTTTTTTGTTATTTGAATACAAACAGCCGTCCTGAGAATTTCATGCTCTCAGAATTATAAGTTCTATAGTTGCATTCAATGTTTCTTCCTGAAAAAAGAAAAAAAAGAGCATAAATATATGTCTATATTATGCACATGGAATAAGTAATTTTCTTCAGTTTGCAAATGAGATAGGCTGTTTTTGATTAAGCATTAAATAGGTGATTAAAATTTTATAGAAGACTGATGATTTAGAAATATTATATAAAATTTAAATGGAAGAAATGAGATGTGGGCAAGTGAAAAATTCCATACCCTACTGTTTTCTATGTTGCCAAGAAAAAAAAAACACTGTAAAGAAATTCTCCTTTCCCATCCCTAAGATGTACCTGTGATTTATAATGATAATATATAATTACAGTGCATTGTTATGGTTTTGATATGAGATGTCCCCCCCAAAAAATTCTCATGCAAATATAGGAATGTTCAGAGCTGTAATGATTAGATTACGAGAGCTGTGACCTAATCAGTGGATTAATTCATTTGACAGATTATTACTTTGAAAAGACTCTCTACTGAGTCATGACTATAGGCAGGTAAGTGCGGCCGAAGGAAGTAGATCACTAGGGAAGGGCCATAGGGGATTATGTATCTTGTTCCTGGCTTCTCATGTTCTCTCTCTGCTTCCTGTTTGTCATGAGCTGAGCAGCTTTCCTCTGAAGCTCTCTTTAATCAAGGTGTTCTGACTTATTTCAGACCCAGAGCAATGGAATCTGTTGACCTTGAATTGACCTCTGAAACCATGAGCCCAAATACATTTTCCTTTTCTAAGTTGTTAATGTCAGGCATTTGATCTCAGTGATAAAAGCTGTCTAACACAAGATTTAACTATGTTAAGCACTGTACTAAGTAAGCACTTTATACCCACTAATTTACTTAATTCTGGCAATAATCCCATGTAATGTTATCTCCAAATTTTGGATAAGGAAACTAGAAAGAGAGAATTAGATAATGGGCCAAATTGGAATGGAGATTATTATTGAAAAAAAAATCAAACAAATACAAACGTCAATTAGGGTTTTAACTTTCCATGAAGATATAATAAACTTGGTGCTTGGACAAGTAAGAGGATTCTTTTTTTGTGGTTAATACAAAACACTGATCTGTCCATTCTCTAAAATAGCCTAAATAACAATGCTGCTACAGATTCCTACTTGAAAGAGTTTGTTTTCACATTGACCACTACTTGTTCTATTATAAAATTTGGGCAAAGCAATTTCACTAAGACTCATGTTGCTGTTATTTTGAATCATATCACAATATAAAAAGTCTTAAATTATCTACCTTCTACTAGATTTTAAGCTTCTTATTGTTGGTTATCCCCTTTTTCTGACTCAATCCACTCTCTGGTTCAAAATATTCTCAAATCTACTGTGCAATTCTAGGATCACATTATATTGTTGAGTAACAAATTATTACATTGTAAAACTACTGAGATATCACACTATCAAAGCAAAATTCGTAAAATCAAAGCAAAATAAATGACATTATTCAAGACAATTGCAATATGGGAGAGAGGTCAAAACTCATTCTGAACTCAGCACTGAAACAAAAGTGAGTGATTTTATTTTCTTGCAATATGAACACTGAACATGAGATATGACTTCTTTTTTAATATTTTTTAGTTGTAGATGGAAACAATATCTTTATTTTTATTTGTTTATTTTTATGTGGTGCTGGGGACCGAACCCAGGGCCTCACCCATGCAAGGCAAGCGCTCTAATACTGAACTACAACCCCAGCCTGGGGTATGATTTCTTAATAAATTTTGTGTGCAGAATTCAGTTTTTTCAGTATTTTTTACTATAGGGGCAATGTTGTACAGCAGATCCTATGGCTTGTTTATACTTGCTTTTTATTTATCTATGAGTTATGATAATTGATGTACTCATTAGTATTAAACTAAACATTAATTATAATGGAAGCAAATATAAGTTTTAGAAATACTTTTTGGGGTGTGTGTAATGTTTGAAATAATTTTTATTAGATCTAATTGTGCAGATATTTTAATGCAAATGAAAAAAAAGCCTATGATGGTAGTAAATAAGATATTTCTGCTCTTTTCCAAATTTTGTATTGTTTATTGTAATATTAACTGTATGAGGGGCTGTACAACACATCATTCCTGAATATAAGTATGCCATTGGAAGTAACTGAAAGAACTCCTAAAGGCCAAATCTTAAAAAAATTGTGCAATGATATGAAGAAATGTTTAGTTAGATTAAAATATAATAAATATTACTGTGTTTACACTGGTATAAATTATTAAATGCATAAATAATTTTTAGAAAAAATAAATCTTCAATGCCAAAGAATTCCTCAAAATTTATGTAGGTAGTTCCTCATTAAGGAAATGGAGCATAACTCCCCATGAAACTAAACATATCCTTCAAGCTTTTGGACAGATAGCAAGGAAACACTTCCATCATCTGCACATCCCTAGCAAAACTTGTATCTGCACAAAACAGGAACAGCTTCACCATGACTGATATACATAGCAGGAGCTACAAGCGAGTGCAGAAAAACCAGCTGCATATAGACAAGACCCTACTGCCAAGCCAAAGTTAGACAGTATCTGATTTTTTAAAATTTGTTCTAATTAGTTATACATGACAGCAAAACTCATTTCAATTCATTTTACACAGAGTACAACTTTTCATTTCTCTGGTTGTACACTATGTAGTGTCACACTATTCTTTCAATCATACATGTACCTAGGGTAACGATGCCCATCTTATTCCACCATCTTTCCTACCCTCATATCCCGTCCCCTTCCCTTACTCTCCTCTGTATAATTCAAAGTTTCTTCATTCTTCCTATGCCCCACCTGCTGCCATTATGGATGGGCATCCACTTACCAGAGAAAAAAATTTGGCTTTTGTTTTTTTGGGGATTGACTTACTTCGCTTAACATGATATTCTCCAACTACATCCATTGACCTGCAAATGCCATAAATTTATTCCTTTTGTTGTTGTTGTTGGTGGTAGTGTTGTTGGTGGTTTTGAGGCAAGACCTCTCCCAGTTGCCCAGGCTGACCTTGAACTTATCATCCTCCTGCCTCGGGCTTCTGGGTCTCTGGAATTACAGGTGTGTACCCCATGCCTCTTTTACAGTATGTGTACTGTGATCTGTCACATCATGCAGAATAGATAATTTAGCATTAGTCATGATTGAAGCAGTTTAAATGTCTACCTCTATTTCTTGAATGCTTAAGTGACAAAAATGTCCTAGGACACACAGTGGTGCCACTCAATAACCAAAACTCTTATTTTGTTTCAAACTTACAGTTCATTAGTTCATTCTCTACATAACCCACTCATTGAGAGTTCCAAATATCAGAATCAAGGAAATTTCAAAGCAGATATTGAGGAGAAGAAATTCACTTTTGTTTACTTTATCACAAATACAACACTAGGGAGATTGCAAACACAATGGGTAATAATGGACCTTATTTTTCCAAGTTCTGTTCCACCCCGGGGGGCCTTAAACAAAGTTATTTTAGTTCATGTTGACTAACCTGAAGTCAAGAATTACCTAAGTCTTCTCATAAATATATAAACACACCATAGTCAGTACAAAAATTGACACTATTGTATTTAGAAAATGAGCATAAATTTCCAGTGGTGTCGAGAGTAGTAATATGCAAAGTGTAGTTTTGAAGTCTTTGTCCCATGTGTTCAAACACTTTACTTGCTATTTTTAAAGGTCTAGAGTGTATTCATTATGTATGTGGATTTATGTATCTCAATTTCTATTTCTAGGTTCCATTTGTTTTTTTGTCTCTGTCCCCAAAGATCTTGCACATTTAATATGCAGTGGAATCTTAGATCTCCTCTGAGAAGACCATGAGATGTGGGAAGCAGATTGTCAGGTAATCAAGAAAAATGTCATCTATTGTCTTCTTAGGCATTTCGTGATATGACTGGAAGCTAGAAATGAAGAGTTCTAATTCATATGGAGTTCTGTCCATCCACTGTGAGCTGCATATTTAAAATAAAGTTTGGAGGAATTGATGAGACATAAGGGATATTTATTTTATTTTAAATTGATATAGCTGCATGTTGATAATCAGAAAGGATTAGAAAGACAACAAAAACCATAATAGCTATGAATGTTCTTATGACAGAGAATATTATGTTACAATCTTAGTGTTTCTTTGGCCCTTGGAATTTCTATTAACATGTTCAAGGTGCCCATATTTGAAATAGAAAATGATCAAATCAGTATTTTTCACTAGTAATGATTTTGATAAAACTGGCTTTCAAACTCTGTACATTTGCTCCCCAAGCATTACATTGCTATGAAAGTGTAAGCGCTTGTCTTTTTATTACAGTGTTTCCAATAGATTAAGGTGTCTTAGCATATGAATTTCTTCTTTAATGAATGAGACTTTCATCCAAAGAGAGGATACTAATTCATACCACATTTCTCCCTAATCCCAAGCGACACATGTTAGGACTAAAGTGCTTATTGATTTAAATGTCATTACCTGTTTAATAAGGAGTAGAAAATAGTCTTGGCATTGTTTTTGAAATATTGATGAAACAGAATAATGTAAGCATGAAATAGTAACATTATTGAGGTTCTATAAAAAATGTAATGTTCCCTTAATGGAAAAGTGAATTAGAAATCATGATCATATGACTTCTACATACCTGTTTTCACCAGCATGTGAATATAACGACAAAAGGTAATATTTTATAATTGCTCTCTTATTTGAGGGAGAAAATGGCAGCATGCAGATATCAGGGCCAATTTTATTGTTTTAAGATACTTTTGTTTAAGAGAAGTAAAATATCTGTTTGTTATAGGCTTTTCTCAAAAGAAAAAAAAAAACAGTTTCAAAAAAACAATTATTTGCAAAAGCCATATATTATGCAGTTTCAGTAATTTATTATTATTATTATATTAAAATATGTATTAGTGGGAATGGCTAAAAGCTTAATAAGTGAAAACAATTCCATTTATGTGGCAAATAAATATTGTTTCCAGATTATTTCCAGATTATATGCTTCCTCTGTACTCAGTTGTTTACCCCCTAAAATCAATAAGCCCCCCACTCATGGTGTCAGAATGTAATGTTCTACTACTGTTCTATCCTTTTCCCCCATTTTAATATTATTGTTAATATCATTTTTGTTCATATTATCTTAAGAGTTGAAGATAACCAGTCTCAATTATGATTCAGGAGCTCCAATAAACCAAATGTGGTCTTCAATTCCAGGTAACCAGCCAAGTGTAGGAAGTCTCCTATTTAAATCTTGGAAAATGTACGTGAGACCAATCAAATGTGTCAGTTGGAAGTCTCACCTTGCAGCTATTGAACAGATGGGTTTAAGTGTGCAGCTCCTTGAAGCATTTTAACAAGACAATATAGTTTTGTTGTTAAAAAAAAAAAAAAAAGTGTCTGAGCACACCCATATGCTCTTCTTCAAGAGCCCAATGAAGGTTTTGGAACAAACTTTATTTTTGAACTCCACCAAAACACTTCACACACGCTCCTGGGGAATTCTCCCTAATGCCATGCCGCTTGTCCAGCAACCCGCCACTGGAAATATCTCCTCCGGAAATCCCTCCTCCTGCACTTCCCCAACCAATGGGAACTCTCCGGGAATCCCCAGGAATCCCCAGGAGAACTCCAAAGTAGCTGCAGAGGCAGATGGTAATGCCTCACCTGTCAACCAATACTATTGGCAAAATGCCAGGGGCCATTCCGACTTGGCTGTGGCTCTCAGCACTTAGTAACTTTCTTGTTGTTAATACAATACCACTGATAAAGTAAAGTGTTATGATTTAAATATAGAATATTCCCCATAAATTCATGTGCAACACTTGGTCCCTAGTTCAGCAATGTTCTGGGTTGAGGCTTTTGAGGAATGATTAAACCTACTTATGGATTAAATCATTGATGAGTTAGTTGGTAGAAAAATGGGCTATTTATATTTGGGCCCCAATCAGAGAAAGCACATCTCAGGAAGCATGCCTTAAAAGGGTATAACTTGTCCCCCATTCCTTTCTCTCAGTGTCTCTCTCTCTGTTTCCTGGCTGCTATAATGTTCTGCCTCACCCTAGGCCTAAAGCCACAGGACCAGGTGACTAAGTATCAAGACCTCTGGAACAGTGATCCAAAATAAATCTTTCCTCCAGTAAGTTGTTTTTCTCAGGTATTTTGACTATCATAATAAGTTGTAAAGCCAAGAGATTTATTTTGTTTGTCTCATAGTTCTGGTCCAAGGTTGGGGACAAGTCTAGTGATAAGCTTATAAGGACAAAAGATGTATTTTGGCTCCTAGTTTCAGAGGTTTTAGTCCATGGTTTGTTGGCTCCCTTGCTTTTAGACTTTTGGCAAAGGAAAACATTATGGCAGAGAGCACATAGTGGAGCAAAGCTACTCAGCTAGTGGCCAGCAAGCACAGAGAGAGCTCATTTTAAAAACAAAGTCCCTGTTTCAAAACCCATTAAGCTATCAATCCAAAGTGTTTAGAGCCTTCACAATTCAATCACCTCACAAAACCCAAGGCTTCACTATATAAGCTTTGGGGAAAATTTTTAAGTTCCAAACCATTACAGAATATATCTGGGTAGGCAAATCAGTTGTGGTCTGAAAATCAGAAGGATTCTTAAAGATTCAGAGATATTCACATTTGAGAAGGTATCTGAAAATGGACCATGGTGTAAGAAATTTCTAGTTGCTTCTAGGAGCTGACAATAGGCCCAATTCTAAATCCAGCAAGTAAACATTGGTCTTAGTTCTGCAGAAGCAAGGATTTGAATTCTACTAATACCCATGTCAGCTTCTATGAGGACCTCTCTGCTCCAGAAAGGCACTCCACCATTTTAACACTATGAGCACAGAAGCCAGTCATAAGTGGATAACTTTTAACCCATATAACTGGCTTTAATACACATGTATTCTTTTTGAACTGCTTAATTCATAGTAAGTTGTTATATTGCAATAAAAAATTAATATTGTTTAATTCATATTATGCACATAATAAAATAGATATTTTTACTTAGCTATTGCACTCCAAAAAATAATTATATTTCAATTGAAGTGGTTAAAAGTTTTTAGAAAACATCATAGTTTTTATATCTCAATCAAAATCATTCTCAAGATTATCTGCCATATGTTTACACATTACTCATAGAGTGGACAGAGCAATAATTGAAAATTTCCTCACAAGCTCTGAAACGTACTTACTCAGTATGAAGACTTTTGCTTTTAATTAGCTTCTTTCAAGACCTAATTCACCAGTAATTTTGAAGGTATGTTATAAAATTGATAAAGAAGGAGGAGTAGAAGGATTCAGGGGAGAAAGAGAATGAAGAGGAAGGGCATTGGTTCCTTCAAGAAATGTTTAGCTCTGGTAAATCAAAACCCTCTTCTGGGTTACCTAAAAAAAATCTATTTTTTTTCTCAAATTCGCATACCACCTCTAAAACCTTTTTCTCTGGTATAAATTCATTATGAAAAACAATTGAATAACAATAGCAACAACTAATCCCTCCAGCTCAACTGTCAAATTTTTTGAAGCTCTCCCAACTATTAGAGCACATATTACTAACACTAGCACTATTTGAATTTTAAGGCTCCTCAAAGTGAATTGTTATTATACTTATTGTACTTGTTATTTTGTCTGTGATCCCCTGCCTCCAAAGTACTCCTTTTTTTGTATTTTTATTGTTTAACATTATACTTAAGAACTAGTCTTTGATAACTCATGACCAAATTCATATTAAAGACTGAGGCAGTCTAACATGCCTGTTACCTTTCCATTGCTTGCTCTGCTCTGTAGATCCTGCTCAGAACCTTTTTGAAAGTTGATGGAAAAACATATCCAAATATTCATCCACTTCAAAATTGATTCTCCACAAGAGACAAGCAATATATAAGTATTTTCCTTTTTCAAAGTTCAAATACAATATGAATTTTGTTGTGTCATAGAAATAGAAATATGATATATATATATATATTAATATATTGCTTTAGATAGGAGCACAAATTATGTGTTTTTTTGTTTTATTCATGAACTGAATTGAATTGAACCTACAGTTTTGTTTATGCTAAGCATGGACTCTACCTCTGAGCTGCTCCAGGCTATTTTTAGTTTTATGTAGTATGACTTTAAAGTTTATGTAGGTCCCACTTTTATTTTGTATTATTTTGATTTCATGAATGTCTACTGTAATTAATACTTCACAGAATGCTAAGATATTTTGCCAGGAAAGGCACACAATGTCATCACATTTTGGGTAACTGACACATAAGTTATGTAAGGGTGATATTATTAATAAAAGCTTATGAACAAAGGAATTTCAAATACCTAAAACCAGTTATTTTTATCACCTAATGTTTAAATTTCACTTTTAAACTTTCATATGAGGTAATCATTGTCAATGAAACTCAGAAAAAAAAAGAGGGGAAGAATATCAGAGTTTGGGTTCTAAGCCAGCCTCTGTTGCTTTGATCCTTAGTGTCCGCATATATAACAGGAGGAATATAGCTACAAGATTTTAAACAGTACATTCTAAATTGGAAATTTTGTGAAGCTTAAATTTTCTATATCTAGACACCTTCAAGCATCTCTGAATAATTTTATACAAATGGCAAATTCATTCTATATATATATA